TGAAGTTCATCTGCTGTCGGATTCGCATAATCTTTTAAAGGTTTTTGTCAATTTTCATTTATTGGATTATCTAAGTTATTCGCCATTTCTTGTAAATTTTTAATTTCTCTCTGTTGTTTTTGAAATTTCCTAATAGTACATTCTAATTCTGAATCGCAAGGTACTAAACCTTCAGATCCAATATTTCACATAAACAAATAAACCAAGCAAAGTATAACACTCTAATAAAAATATATCTTTTTGGATTTTTTATTTTTTTACTTTCTTAATAATAATAATTTTTTTATGATATATATATTATCTCAAAATTTCCTAATTTATCAAAACTATTTAATTCAACTGTTACCTTCCCCACGCAATGACGCCAAAAACTTGATCTGACTTTTTGTTGCGATAGATTGTGTAAAATTTAATCAAATATAATCAATTAATATTCAGATTCTACGCAAGTATATGTATCGTTATCAAGTAATAATGAACTATCTATTTAAGCCCCAAATATCGATACTACAGGGAAGGTTTAAATTAGAAATGACAAATTTGCTAAGAAATTCACAGAAAGTCAATTGAAATCACTGTCACTAATTTCAAATGTTGAGATATAATCAAAATTAAATTTCTAAACTATTATCAAATCAAATATGCCAAATTTAAAACAGTAAATACTAATATAGTAACTATCTTTATGTAACGGAGATTCTTATGTGAAAAAACATCCTTCCCACTACAATGAAACTATGGTAAAATGAGATGAGATAAATGTTCATAATATGTATTGTGTCAAATAGGATCAATTTTAATTCCCTACCCTGATACAGTGCATAGAAAATCATTGACTAATCTCAGTGTTTAGTCCCTAAATCCGTGGCTAGGCTAAGATGATACCGGCTCCCACTCTAGAGCTCCCACTTCCCTTCATCTGAAGGCTAGCTCTCGCTTCAGTTTTTAAACACTAAGGTTGAATTGAAGATTTTAGTCAGTCATCCTAAAGATTCGCTAATTCTACACCCAAAAAATAATATTTTCTTATTTATTTGCACTTAATTCCATAAATAATGTTCTCCCACTTAATTATTTGCACTTAATTCCATAAATAATGTTCTCCTTCATGGAATCAAATGTGATCCTTACTCTATTGTAGAACTCCTACGTCATTTCCCGGGTACTCCATTTCTCAGATCATATGTTTCACAACACATTTTAACAATTTAATTGGACAGATCGAAAAGTAAATTAAGTTCAGAGTTGAAAAATCATCATAATTTATTTTACAATTTAATATTAACACATTCATATTATCTCTTCATTTCACCATATCTCCGAGTATGGAGAAAGATAGAGGGAACTACTCAGACTTCTTGAGAAAGAAATAACAAAACACAAATTTCATATATGAAAGAAAGTTCATACAATACTGATAAACAAACAATACTTATCTGAAAACTCTTTCTTAAAGCAAATATTTTGTAGCCTTTTCTTATAAATGCAGGAAGAAGACATCTCTCACTTTTCTCCTTCTCCAACACTCTTACAGAAAGTTTCACACTAATTCTCTCCACAAAAACTCTAAACTATGAAAGATAAATCACTAATTGACTCCAATATGGAAGTGGAATGGAATGATGTGTTGCGAAAAATGAAAGTAGAGGTGTGAAAAATGTAGATGATCACTTTTTCTGATGAAATTCGGCCCTAAATAGAGCTCAAGGTCGGTTCTCCAAGAGGTGCCTCCAAAAACTCTTCAAAAAAATCGTCCAAATACATCAAACCTTCTAGAAACAGGGTCTGCACCGCCTTTGACACCATCGACGCAGGTCTGGCGCCGTCAGCGCTGAGTAAAAAATCTACGCGTTAATTTGTTCTGCGCCGTCGACACTGCCCTCTGCGCTGCCGACGCTGAGCATTTCTTCAAAAACGTCATTTTGACTCCAAATTCCATCCTTTTTGCTTTATTTTTGCTTTAAGCCCTAAAAATTTACAACCTGTAAGAAAACATCAAAATACCTTCCATTAAAGTGCAATATTATCAAAAATAAGTATAAAATATGGGTCTAAAAATGCATATATTTTTTGGTTTATCACACCTCTCTTTGTGCATTTAAGGTTCTCCACCCCCAACCTCTGTAGCCATAAAATTATATGCATTTGTTGTTGTGATCCCTGATCCTGTCATTGATCTCAGCAAATCAGCATTTAACTAACTTATATTTCTGCTGAAACACAAAATATACTTATCACCACTTTCCTCAAGAGGGTGGTCATGACTTTCAATGAATTTCTTCACTATTCAATTTCCTTCAACATTAATGACATATCTAACCATGGCTTGACATCCAATCCTAGTGTCAGCTTTTCTGAATTTCACAGAATCTGTCGGGTTTGACTTCATCTTGTGGCTAGCCTTTTCGCAAATAAAATATTTGATTTTAATCTTCTTAGAGTTTGACCAATAACTGCTATGGTCATTCCTAACATAAAATCCTACATGATGAGCATAGACATAGTAGCTTTCATATGCTTCTTGTTCATTGTGGACAACGATACGAAGAAACGTCTCTGCGATTGGATCATTGACTATATTTCCACACTGCACATTACCACACCAATTTAACGATGGTTAGATAGATATAACACAACAATAACGCAAAAATAGCACAACAATAACACGTCAATAATACAACAAAAATACAATAATATTACAACAATAATATAACAATAACACTATTAGAACCATACAATCCCTAGGCACTAAACCATAACAATAATACCCAATAACACTAGAAAAACTAAATAATAACATCACATAACACCCCAATAAGACGAGAATAACGCGTTAGTAATACAACAATAATAAAATTATAACACTACTAAAACAATACAAATTTCTAAACAATCACACCACTAGAACAATACAATCCCTAGACAATAAACCATAACAATAATACCATAATAACATTAGAAAAACTAAACAATAACATCACATAAAATCCCAAATAAGACGAGAATAACATGCTAATAATATAACAATAATACAATTATAACACTACTAAAACAATACAAATTTCTAAACAATCACACCACTAGAACAATACAATCCCTAGACCCTAAACCATAACAATAAAATCACAATAACACTTGAAAAACTAAACAATAACATCATATAACACTTCAATCATACGATAATAACACAACAATAATACAACATTAATACAATAATAATAAAACAATAACACAACTAGGACAATGCAATCCATCAACCCTAAATCATAACACCACAATACTAAATCATAAACCCTAAAAACACCTAACAAAAATCAGCTCAACCAACACAATACATCAATGGAAAACTCAAATCAAAATAAAACTAAAGTAAACTCACTTCTGATTGAAGCTGAATGCCATTATTTCCCGATTCTATGACCAATATTTCTTCATTTACAGAGAGATCGATCACACCAACTCGAAACCCAGCGCAAAGAAATCCTAAAGCGACAAAATCCGCTTTTTTGGCTGGCGGCACCCTAAAAATGCGACAAAGACTTTTGGCGGGATTAGTATTGAATATAAAGTCACTTTTTCGCTTCTTGGGCTAGACTTGGGTTTCCGCCGCACCGGGTGGCGCGCTCTAATTCATTTAATTGACGTTCTGTTTCGGAACTTTACGTGTGAAGTTCAAATGCAATAAGCGCTCTTTAATTACGACATCACGGACTCATGGGAAATTTTGAAGCTGTGTTTTAATTGCTTTTTAAATCCGAATCTACTAAGGTCAGAATTGAGGTGAATAAAACGAATTTACAATTTACATATTTTATAAGTTCTACTAATGCTTAAATCCTACTTGCAGCCACGCATGGCAAACCCGAGAAGCAGCCAAGAAGGTTTTAGGGCGTGGAAATGAAGTGGGAGAGCGATCCGGAGGATTTCTCGCCGTCGGCAACCATTGTGCCATTCGATCCGCCACTCCCGCTTCTGAGAGCGCCCATGAAAGCCGGGCTGGGTGATCGGCCCTCGGCTGGATCCTTCGTACTTGCCTTCAAGGATGCCGCGAGCTGGAGATCTGCATTTCGGGCCACGGAGTCCAAGATTCTAGAGCAGTGCGAGGTACACTTCGTTCGATCTTGCTTCATTCGGTCTTTTTGTGTAATCTATGGACCACGGATGACCCCTTTTTTTAAACCCTAATCTTTGGGGTTTATGTAGACGATTTTAGGGGTCTTTGTTGGGAGTTCTGGAGTTGAAGATATGACTCGTTTCTCATTTTTATCCGCCTTCTTTGAATGATTTTTTATGGTGCTGGAGCAACGAACGATTTTCTGGTCGTATTTTTTTCAGATGTGAAAATGTTTTAATCTTTTAAGCGTTTATAAACTTGTTTGATAACGACAAAATTTCTCTGATCTGTGTTTGGTTCGATAATTTAGGTTTCTGGTATAATTGCTAGAAATTCGCCTTTTTTCTGGATATTTGTTTCAAGACTTCTGGTTTTGCAGCTGGCCGAGCTGGCTGGCTTTAGTCTTGCCAGGCAGTAAGTTAAAGCAGCTGCATAAAGTGATAGAGGAGTACAAACCAGCTCTTGGCTGCAGAGTTTTGGCAGTCTTGATAGGGAGTGCCTCACAGTGAATCGCATATGGGTGGCTTCATTTAGTTTGTGTGCGTACTGTATGTTAAGTTATTTCCTATAGTGTAACAATTGCTTTTGCTTTTGCATTAGCTAAAGTCACATTTATTGCATAGCACACATTCAATGACAATGTTTAATTGTTGTCCATTTATAGCGTTCTTCTCCTTTAGTTAGTGTGATGAATTTCCTTGCTAACTTCAGTTAGGCTTTATTTTTGGCATCCCATGCTGGTTGTGCTGTTTTATCCTTATTAATTTACATAATTAATTGGGATTTCTAAGGCAAGAATTTGTTTAATAGTCTGTTTGAAGTTATAAGTAGTTAGTTGACTTGAGGATGAAGATGATGCGACTTATGAGATAGGAAGGGATAAAGGGATACAAACCAATGATTGCGAAGAGATGAAAGATGATAATAAAGATGGAGTAGATTGCATAATAGATTATTCCTGTACATGTTGTAAATGTAAGTAATTTAGCTATTTAAGTTATTTTCAAAAATGACTTCAGGTTCCTTATTTAAGGTAATGTATTTAGCAAGCTGGACGAACTTGAAATGAAAAAAAAACTTGAAAATTTAGTATTTACGTATTATAAATTAATTTGATGATTACCATTTTATATCCTTCAACATTCCTCATATAAAATACTTTTATCAAGTTAATCAGCTATTTCATTTGTACAGGTGCCTAACATGTTCGATTTGGGTAGCCATATTGCCTTGAGGGTGCCTAGTGTTTATATTACTTGATCATAGTTTTTTTTTTGGTACATGAAATTCTCAATCGAATCATCCAATAATGTGATGGGATTTGGATATTTTCTGATAACGAATCAAGTTGAAAGTTTACTTTTGCTATTCAATATTGATACCTAACCCTTCTCTTTGTGGCAGTGATATTTCTGGATGTTCTTAGTTGAGTAAAAATTAGTATTTTATGGTGCTTTTTAGATAAAATATCACATTGACTTTTGTAAGCAAACTACAAGCTGCTAGGATACTGTGTTTCTGCTGAATATGTGGGGAGCAATTTTCTATTTTAATCTATCAAAATCATATGCAATTAGATTATTTTTATGTGAGTAGATTTTTGGGCACATTGTTTTCTTTAGAACTGTCATTTAACTGTTAATCAGTAGTATAATATTTGAAGGCAATATTAAAAAGGTAATGTTGCTTGCGGTCTTATTTGGTATGTTTTTTAGCAGCATTCTTTTTGAAAATTCTGACATATGACACTTGATTTGTGCAAAAAAAAAAGAAAAAAAAAAGGAAAGAAAAGGAAAAAAAAAAGGAAAAAGGAGTGATTGAAGCCATAATAATTTATGTGCATTTTCTTCATGGTTTCATAACCATGAAAGCTTAGCAGTTTATCCTTATTTGTGAAAATTGTGCTGCTATAATTTTGTACCAAACAACATAACATATTAATTTGGCGGCTGATGGATTAATTGGTGATTTATTCTGTTAGATCATGAAAAATGGTTTTGTTCTATGTTGCTTTTTTGTAAGGCTGGAAATAATGGCATGATGAAAAAGTCGTGTTTTGGAACAAAATAGTGTGTCATGTGATAAAGCAGACCCATCAGTTGTACATCATGTGCCACTTCAGCAAATACACAACATAATTTTGTACCAAACAACATAACATATTAATTTGGCGGCTGTGGATTAATTGGTGATTTATTGTGTTAGATCATGAGAAATTTTCTTGTTCTATGTTACATTTTTTTAAGGCTGGAAATAATGGCATGATAGAAAAATTATGTTTTGGAACAAAATAGTGTCATGTGGTAAAGCGGGCTCATCAGTTGTACATCATGCGTCGCTTCAGCAAATACACAATCAACCCCAAATTTAAAGCCAATCACACAAGAGACCCTCATGTAAATTTAAGGGGAACAAGCTTGGGAAAAAAATCCCAAATGCGTGAGATAAATTGCATACTCCCTATCTGGCAATGTTGAGCTCCAAAATCACATGCCTGCAGCTTCCTTAACGGTGCTTTCTGGTAAAAGTTAGAAGTGATTGAAACAAATTTCTAACTTAGATATGTAAAAGGGAAATTTGGATTATGACAAACTTATTAAAATTAGCATGTGTGAGGCATGATATTGTTTACTGCATTTGTATGCAATAAACTATTTATCATTACTCAAATCTGCATTCTTCTGCGACATGTAAAAAAGAATCAGCCAACTCATTTATAACACGAAATACTCTAGTTTTCTTATAATTATCTTTACATCATATGGTAAATCTTTTACAAAATCTTTCTAATTTGAATTCATAGCAAGATGGGTGTGTGTAAATGAAGGCTGGAGCTCGTGCTGGGTGTTCTATCAGCGTCTCCAACAAGTGCAAGCCCCCCTGGTGGAAATTCATATTTGGTACCAAAACAATGGATTTTGCTGAGAGGGAGCGATGTGAGGAGCGTGAGATGTCTTCTTGCATGGCATTAGCTAAGGATGCATGCACCAGTTTTGCAAGGGAAAAATGCATACCTGCATTTCGGGAAGCAAGAGTTGCTACTGGAAGCACATCAGAAGTTGGATTTGCTGCACTTGAGCCAGTCACAGCAGATGAGGCAATCGACTACAAAGGTACTAAGGCTAATTGAAACCATTTTTATTGAGTAAGCTGTTTCTGTTGCTTGCAATTTTTGGTTTGTTTTCTAACGTTTTTAATGTACCTAATGAGGTTTAGGTTTTTTTGTATGAAGACAATTTAAAATTTCATTTACATTTCATTTTGGGTAAATATTTCATTGCGTCCTGGTATGAAAGTTGTGATTGTGGCATGTGCGAAAATGGAAATAAGGTGAGGAAATGGGAAAACAATCAGTGGGGGTAAGCATGTAATTTTTCTTGGGAAAATGCACGGGACCTCTTTTTTTAGTTCAATCTTTTATCATAATTCACAACAGGCTCTACGAACCGCAGATGTTAACTTTATAGTTTCTCTTGAAAAAAGAAAAAATAATGGGGGCATCTACATACATACTTCCCAATTTATATGTATTTATAAATCTAACACCTAATTTTACTTGTTTACATTTATACCACTCAAAATTTTCATATCATATAAAAAATACCACCATTTTAACATTTAAAAAGTGAAATATACCTTTTTCATGCATAGATAAGGTGGCATAAATGTACAAATTGAAGTTTAGGTGTTAGATATGCTAATACAAATGAAGTGAGTGGTTTATAACTCTTCCAATAACAAAAAAAAGGAAAAATACTATAATTTCTTTTTTTTATGTCAGTACACAAATGCCTCTTTTTTTTATAATGAATTTTACGGCATTTTAAAAGGAAATTAACAACCTTGTATCTATGTTTTTGTTTATTAAGAAAAAAGGTTATGTTATTTTTGTTCAGTGTCGGGAAGCTTGATTTGATTCTTTCCAATTATAATGATAACTGCATAATTTACTTATACCATTCAATTTAATTTGAATGGATGGATTTGAAACAATCCAATCACTTCAAATTCAGCGTCAAAATCATCTAAATTGAATATATGGCCTGGTTTAATAATTGCAGTTATCATGATAATTCAAGAGGACCTGAATCCTTTTGGTAAGCTGTGTCTATCCTTTTAGACAAGGTTTTGTAACTTTCAGAACGTTCCATCTGAAATGATTGAAAATAAAATAATTTTTGAAAACTTGAAAAATTGACGGGAATCGAGTCGAGTTGACTTGGTTCAGTTTAATTTAAGATTTGAGTACCACTCTTACCCTGATACTTTTTTCAACCTTTTTCAAAACTTTGTTTGATTTTTTCTATTTAAGCAAATCTGCTTCATGGAGTTTTACAAGGAAACTTATTAACTTGAGTAATTGAAGTGCATAGTTTGCTTGATATGTTGTCACTAAGGTATGAGATCTTACGTATTACTATTTATTCAATAAAAAGAGCAGTTATTGAAATTCAATATATCTTAAATCCAAATTATGCAGTTTATTATGAATCTCATTAATATTTTATTACTATAGTAAGTCTGACTTGCAATTTTTTTCTCAAAAGTTGCCCAATCATTTGATATAATGTGTGCAGAACCTATGTGTAACTTTCATATTGTATTTTAATTTTAGGGAAAATTAGGTACACGATATCCAAAAATTGGTTTTTTATGAAACTTGCTTGGCCCATACGGACAAATTATTGTTTATGTATTTGTTTGTGTTGCAAGTTACTCTTTAAAATTTTAATAATAATAAGATATTTGTATTGTAGTTTTGTTTTCCCTTTTAAGTTTTGGTGGATTCATTTCAAATGAAAAGTAATTGGATGTTAATTTTATAAATGGTCAAATTTCATTGCTACATAAAAAATTGTCCTTCAATTATTAAAACATTCAACTTTCTTAAGTTGATCAGTCGTGTAGACTATATAATGTGGGCTTTGAAAATTTTGATGCCTCCAGACTCTTTGATTTGTTTTTGTATTGTGTTATTTTTTTTAATTCTATATAGCTCATTTAGCCAAGCATGATTATGAAGATCTCTTATCTCTATCCTCTCAGACCATAATTTTTCAAACTCCCCTGAATCACATTTGCTCATGTATACGTGAAACAATCGTTGTACTGTCTTATTACTATTGTAGTGATGTACTTTTGAATGTGCCTTCTTAGAGATATGCCACTGATATAATCGATGTTGAGTATGAACCAATACTATTTCTATAGCTTATGCCATTGATTGATCTTGATCAATATATATTGTTATAGAATACTTATAATTGATTGTGTGAATGAATGTACTGAATAACAAAGTAAAAAAAATTAATTCTCTTCTGATAAAAATGTTACTCTAAACAAAAAAATTTACTAGTGATGATTAACTCCAACTAACGGTGCACAAACAAAATTATACATATTAAATTGATAATTTTTGTCAAAAATTATGACGTCTCTGAAGCTATTATAGTCTAGCCTTGACATGCCATCACTTCAAAAAAGGCTTTTTAATATATTTGATTCATTAAATTCGACATCCCAAGCAAACATTTCATCAACTTTTCTTTTCTTGAATAATTGTATTAGAGCATTAGTATCTCTATTCTCAATTCTAGTCTTTTATCTTTTTGTTTATAATTAAATGCATCCTTTGTATGCATCCAACTTTCTCTACTCCAGCTTCCTCAACTTGATACCTGAATGCATTAATCGTCCTGATTCCTGCTTGTGTCTTTGACTACAACACAAAAATTGTTGATCAGTTGCTTCAGCTAATGGATGGTTATGACTTTCTATAAATTTATTTACAGACCAGTTACTCGCAGGATCAATGACAATTGTAATCATTACTGAACAACCAGTTTTAGTGTCTGATTTCTTGAACTTCGTTGTGTTATTTAATTTGTGTGCTTTCTTTTGACCAGCTTAATGAATATTTTGATTTAATATTCCTTTAATTTGATCAATAACTAATATGGTACTTTCGAACACTGAAACTGATATCATGAGCATTGTTTCAATACAAGTTATATGTCTCATTTTTCCTATGAGCAATTGTGGAAAATAATTTATCTGTATTTGGTTCAAAATCCATAGGATTTTCATCATTGCATTCATCTTCTTGCATCAAGAACTGCAAATTCATTTGTGAGATATTAATGTAGTTAAGAGAAAATGAGATATAAATATGTACTCAAGAAACAATCATCCAAATAACATATCCTGCAATCAATGTACTATGAAAAATGATGTCGAATCATGTTATATTCAAGACGAAACACTCATAAAGCTATTATCTATGTTGTTATATATAGTACAACATCGTTTAAAATGATGAAATACCATCTTATACTATAGAACAAACGTTCTTAAGCTCTTACATATATTATAATATGTAGTGCAACATGGTTGTACTCATGAAAAAAATGATGAAAAACAATGTATTATATACCAAATGTTCATAATGCCCTTTCATATGCTATGATATATTGAACAACATTGTTGTACTCTTAAAAAAATGATGCAAAACGATGTTATATTATATATTAAATGTTCATAATGTCCTTACTTATATTATAATATGCAGTACAACACGATTCTACTTGTGAAAAAATGATATAAAATGATGTTATATTATATACCAAATGTTCATAATGCTCTTACCTATATTATGATATATAGTATAACATGTTTGTACTAATGAAAAAATGATGTAAAACCATTTTGTATTCGAGACTAAACAATGCATGAAGCCTATACTAAAGAACCATGATATCAAACCATGTAGCAAAATAAGGTTGTAATTATGTAAAATGATGTAAAAATCACGTTCAACTAAATAAGAATGATTTATAACAATGTTTTACTTGAGAATATCAAACATAATAATCAAATGATTCTTTTACAATATGCATTAATAGTTTACAAAGAAATGCTTTACGGAAGATGACCTCCAAATATTCTAGGAGAGTACTATGCTTGTCATCCATCTTCACGACGAGTTCCATTATTTTTATTCTTCTTCGGTTTGAGCAACAAGACAATAAGACAATACTCAAGTATAAAACCTAAAGCTTCATTTTTCTTCTTCAGCTTGTGCGACGTCCAAGAATAAAATCGATAAACTATATTCTAAAATTACTTTTTTACCTGAATTTTTGCGGTGTGAACAATGTGAGCCGATTTAGACTTTGGGCTTCACAACTTTTAGGAAGATAAAATAATATTTTAAAAGCATTGCCGTGCGACAAAATTATATTGGAGTCCGAACGTAACTTTACGGTCTTCTCTCTCGCATGGGGATCATGAGGCTTATGTATAGAGCGAAACAGAGGAGTTCGATTAGGACTTCAATACAAGGATGCCACATAGGGAGAAGATAGAGGAGCGAAGTAGGAAGATGGAAATTTCATAGGTCTTTGTACAATGTGATCCTGACTTCGATCGCTACAGACGGCGAGGGCTTCGATGGTTTGAGGAAGGTGACAATGTGGAAGTCTTCAGTGTAGGGATCAACAGTTTGAGGAAGAGATGATGTGGTAGTTTCGGCTTTCTCTGTGAACTACAAAGGGGATTGATATGAAAGGAACAAAAGGGTTCACACACGGAGAGTCGCATGAACATGGAAACAATGGGCTTTGTTTGGATTGCGTGCGGTAGAAGTTAACAAGTGAAGCTTCGACTCGTAGGTCTAATTACTGACTTTGTTTGGATTGTTTGGATTGTTTGTTTGGATTGCGGTAGAAGTTAACAAGTGAAGCTTCGACTCGTAGGGCTTCTTTGTTAGAATGATGGGACACTAGGGAAACTTCATGTGAGTACATGGAGGAAGGACAACAATGGAGGTGAGGGTTTATGCTGCTTGCTTTGATCCCGAGGAAAAAGCAGAGATGGCTCTGTGCTGATTTCGAACTGAAGGAAGAAGCAAAGCGAAGGGCTCGCGGCTTTTGTTTCGTGCATATTTAGAGGAAACAAAACAGAGGAAGCGGGAATGGTTGTCGGAAATCGAGTTTGACGTGCAATTTATGACATATTACTTAAATTTAATTAAACTTAATTCAAAATTTTAATAAATTAATAATTTTTTAATGTCAACATGTGAAAGTGCCAGTCAAATTATTAGCTAATAGAGAGTTTTCAATTGTATATTTTTGCATGCATCAATGATTTATGCAACATTTATTGTGTCTTGAGACTAGCAAATTTAAATAAAGATTTTTTTTTTTTGGTTTGGGGGGCGGGTTCAATCAATGGATCTATGAGCCTAAACAAATAATTTATATACAGTCCTAGTGGAACTAGAATATTCTGACCCATCCACTTACTAAGCTTTGCATGGATTTGTTGACAGTTGTGCCATATAAAGGAGATTTTAGAAGTAGTAATTAATAACCTAGAGATTTCAGAATTACAACACTTGAATTTAAGATATTGATATCATAGGGTTGTCTCTAAATGTACTATCTTTGCCAGTGTTGCTATTTTGTTATAAGAACTCTATATTGCTGCCCGTTTCTTCTTCCCGATAAAAATGGCGACATAAGAAAAAAATAAT